GATTTTTAATTGCATGACAGAAAATAAAGAACTTTATCACAATATTCAAATTTTCTGAGACAGTCCTGTATATTCACCGCTTAGGAGAAGTCGGATTAAGAGTCAAGAGAGAGAGAAGTTGTGGTGGAATGAGAGAGTGGGATGGATGCAACAGAGGAGATAGAGGAAGAAAAGAAATGAGAGAAAAGAGTGTGTTTTGTGAAGCATGGGGACTTCAGCCACGCTATCGCTGATAGTGCTCTTCAGCCAGGCTGCACCCGAATTTACTACTTCACTAGAGCATGAAAAACACAGCAAATTAAACTGTGAAGCGGTTACTTGCTGGAGATGGATATCTTTATATTGGACTTGGGATTCTTTTCCCTAAAGTCTGCATTTGAAATTGTCACACCAAAACTGGAGCCCGTATCTGGAGCTGCTTTTATCTCCCAACACATTTCTTTGAAGTCTCTTTGTAACTCATTGTAGACAATTTAAATAAGAGTTCCTTACTGTCTGCAGCTGTTCCAAATACTAAATGGAAAAATAAGACACTTCTGTGTGTTTTAGGTTGAATAATCTGTGATACGAGGGCAGAGATCCCAGTTTAACCCTATAATGCCATATGTGTCATATTTGATACACACGGTTTCTGAAGTCTTTTGGATCTGAGACTTTTTGCATCATTCAGTGGTAAAAGCTTTGCTAAAACCCCTATTGTACACATTCAGATATACCTGATAACAGCCAGTAGAAGACTACACCAAAATATATTTTTGACTTATTGCACGCTAATTTGATCAAAGTAATTTCTGTTTTTTTTTTCTTCATATGTTGTTGAGGGGCCAAAGAAAGACTTCAGACTAAAAAAAATCCAATATTCTTCCTATTTTTCTTGGATCGGGCTTTAAAGGGTTAAGACCTGCTTTGTGTTTCCCTCTCCTTTTCAGGTGGGTGCACGTGGTTTGTGCGCTTTACGTCCCCGGAGTCGCGTTCGGAGACATCGACAAACTGAGACCAGTGACGCTCACAGAGATGAATTACTCCAAATACGGAGCCAAGGCAGGTTCTGGTTTTGAGACCAACCGAGAACGGTTTGGATGTTCAGTCATTTTATGGCGTGTTTACTGAGGCTCTTAAAGAAAGGAGACATTTAGTGGTAGATAGTGCGTAAGAATTTTTTTTTTTTCTAAAGTCGCTGCATAGTAAGTATTAAATATTTAAGTTAAAGGTTTTCTTTGTTAAGGGCCAATGTTGAGAGCAAGAACTGATCTGTTTCACTGGTATTTGATCAAATGTTTCAGTTACCAGTTTATTTTTAAACAGCTCAAGAAGCACAATTTCTCAGAAGAGTAGAATAGAAACATACTTTTTTTTTTTTTTTTAAATAATGTGTGTTTGTAATGTATATATACACACACAGACGCACACACAGACACACACATACACAAACACACACACATATATATCTATCTCTCTCTATATATATATATATATATATATTTAGAGAGCAATATTTTAAGTGAAAGCATTGGCTGGATCTGACGGTGACATAGATATCTATTATAAAAAGATATATGTTATATATTATATTATAATAAATTAAGTTTATATTAAAATATCATTTTAAAAGAAAGTGCCAAATAGTTTGAAAAAAAATTCTTGATCTACTTATTTGACATTGTTCTAATAGCTTTGTGTGAAGTGAGCTAATTAGAAATGTAACTAATTTATATTGATTTTATTGTAATGAATTAGATTACTTGGGCTGCATCTTGAGATGCCTTTTGATTAAATATGAACAGAATTTAACTAAATCGAAAATGACTTTTGATTAAATATCAACAGAACTGAACAGAATCGAATCTGCCTGCCTGGAGAGAAAACATCAAACGTTTCTGGCCATCGTAACTACTCAGATTTGTGCCTTTCCCAAAGTGCTCAGAGGCTGATGGACGCCGGTGTGAGCTCAGACTGAAGTGCTGAGTGCTGTTTCCCTGATCTGAAGTGTTGTGTGTGTGTTTTTTTGTGTGAAGGAGTGCAGCTTCTGTGAGGACGCCCGCTTCGCCCGCACCGGGGTCTGCATCAGTTGTGACGCCGGCATGTGCCGCTCCTATTTCCACGTGACCTGCGCGCAGAGGGAGGGGCTCCTGTCTGAGGCCGCCGCCGAGGAGGTGAG